ACAGTTGATCTCGAGTTAAGGCCTTCGCTGAAACATCGAGGTATGGCGATGTTCGTAACTTGCTGTAGCTCGGTTTTCCATGAGGACCACTGGCTTTCAGTGTCTGAGTCTAGAGATTCATCCCACTCTAATCCTTTTCTCCACAGTTTCTGGAAGAGGATCTTAACTCTCACTGTGAACGGTGATATCAATCCAAGAGGATCGAAAATCCTCGAAGCATGGCTAAGCAAAGTTCTTTTCGTAGCGGGGGTGCGAGATGTGGCTACTTCCTTTGGGGGAATGAATCTGAAGCAATCTGACTTTAAGTCCCATGACACGCCAAGTGCTTTGAGGGACTCTTCTGATGCAAGGTCTACCATTGGCAACGGTGCTCTGTGTTCAGGCTGAATGTTGTCCATCACTTGTTGAGAATTGCTTGCCCACTTTGTGAGATTAAAACCACCACTCTTCATGATTTCATATAGTTCTTGAGTCAATGTTAGTGCAGCATCATCTGTTTCTGCACCTGTCAAGCAATCATCTACGTACATGTTTTCTAAAAGTTCCTTGGCAGCTCTTGGAACAGTTTCGAGATAGCCCGTAACGTGCGCATGAATTGTTGCGATGGCAAGGAACGGACTACAGTTCACGCCGAACGTAAGTCTATTCATTCTATAGACACGTGGTAATTCATCTGAGTTAAGCTCTCTCCACAAGTAACGATGCACGTCTTGATCTGGTGTTGCAAGTTTGATCTGCAGGAACATCTTTTCTACATCTGCAAGCAGACCAATCTTGTGAGTACGAAAGCGGGTAAGAACTGATGCTAGATTTGGTTGTAAGGCAGGACCAGGAAGTATGCAGTCGTTCAGAGGTACGCCTTGTTCGTCCTTCGCCGAAGCGTCGAACACGATTCTACATTTGGTTGTTGTTTTATCATTACAAAATACAGCGTGATGCGGTAAGTATCTAACGTTTGTGGACTGTTTCTCTTCGACGGGAACTTCCTCTGCGAATCCTTTCTCCGTATATTGGTCGATCGCATCAATGTAAGCCTTTGCCTTTACTGGGTCACGTTTCAGTCTTCTTTCAACTCCTTCCAATCGCTGCAGAGCTTGTTTGTAGTTGTCAGTCAGATTTGCATGGCTCGGTTTCCATGGTAGCCGCACTTCGTAGTTGGATCCATCAAACTTTAATTCGCGATTAAAGTCTTCAACTGCACATTCTTCTTCCTTGGAATGAACGGCACTCTCCTCCTTAGAAATTCCAATTGCTTCCAGCTCCCAGAATCTTTTCAAAGTCTGAGTAATTTCAGTGTTCTCTAAGACTGCTATCATAGAAGTAGTATTTTTGCTTGTCCCCTCTATTGGGCCTGTAAGCACCCAACCG